TTTGAGACCAGCCTGCCCAACATGGTGAAACTAAATTTAGTCTCTACTAAAAATACAAAATTAGCTGGGCATGGTGATGCACACCTGTAATCCCAGCTACTCAGGAGGCTGAGACAGGAGAACTGCTTGAATCCAAGAGGTGGAGGCTGCAGTGAGCTGAGATTGCACCACTGCACTCCAGTGCAAGAGCGAGACTCCATCTCAAAAAATAAAATAAAATAAAATAATAAAATGAAAAATTATAGGCTGGGTCGGTGGCTCACGTCTGTAATACCAGCACTTTGGGAGGCCAAGGCAGGAGGATCGTGAGGTCAGGAGTTCAAGACCAGCCTGACCAACATGGTGAAACCCCGTCTCTACTAAAAATACAAAAAAATTAGCCAGGCGTGGTGGTGTGCGCCTGTAATCCCAGCTACCTGGGGGGCTGAGGCAGAAGAATAGCTTGAACCCCAAAGGCGGAGGTTGCAGTGAGCCGAGATCACGCCATTGCACTCCAGCCTGGGTGACAGAGCAAGACTCTGTCTCAAAAAAAAAAGAAAAATTGCAAAAGGATATATTGTGAATACATCCATCCCTATTCTCCATAAAAAACATCATCGGGCCAGGCACAGTGGCTCATGCCTGTAATCCCAGCACTTTGGGAGGCCGAGGCGGGGGGATCACAAGGTCAGGAGATCAAAACCATCCTAACATGGTGAAACCCTGTCTCTACTAAAAATACAAAAAATTAGTCGGGCGTGGTGGTACGTGCCTGTAGTCCCAGCTACTCAGAAGACTGAGGCAGGAGAATGGTGTGAACCCAGGAGGCAGAGGTTGCAGTGAGTTGAGATCGCCCCACCATACTCCAGCCTAAGTGACAGAGCGAGACTCCATCTCAAAAAGAAAAGAAAAGAAAAGAATCAGCTAGGCGTGGTAGCTCACTCCTGTAAGTCCAGCACTTTGGGAGGCTGAGGCAGGAGGATCGTTTCAGCCCAGGAGTTCAAGACCAGCCTGGGCAACGTGGCAAAACTCCATCTTTACAAAAAATACAAAAATCAGCCAGGCATGGTGGCCTGTAGTCCCAGCTACCTGGGAAGCCAAGGTGGGAGGATCACTCAAGCCCGGGAGGCAGAGGCTGCAGTAAGCCAAGATCTCGCCACTGAACTCCAGGCTGGAGGACAGAGTGAGACCTTGCCTGAAAAACAAAAACAGGCTAGACATGGTGGCTCACGCCTGTAATCCCAGCACTTTGGGAGGCAGATCACTTGAGGTCAGGAGTTCCAGACCAGTCTGGTTAATATGGTGAAACCCCATCTCTACTAAAAATACAAAATTAGCCATGCATGATGGCACATGCCTATAGTCCCAGCTACTTGGGGGGCTGAGATAGGAGAATCACTTGAACCTGGGAGGCGGAGGCTGCAGTGAACCGAGATCGCACCAGCGTGCTCCAGCCTGAGTGACAGAGAGAGACATCTCCAAAAAAAAAAAAAAATCACCCATTTCTTTCCTTCTGTAAATATCACATATATGCAAATCCACCCATCCATATTTCTGTGTATGTTCTATTACCCCCCTCAAATATTAAATGGTAAACACTTATTGTTCATGTGGTATCAAAATTATTTAACACTACCAATTAAAAAAACACAAATATTTCCTGTTAAAAAAAATACAAAGTCAACTTAAAATTATTTATTAGTGGATTATATCTTCTTTGCATTATGTTTGGAAATTCTCCTCTGTCATCAAGATGAGTTCTGATCATTTCATTTAATTTTCTCAATGACTCAGTGACGTAGGTAATTAGGCAAATAATGTACATAACACACCTTGCTGGCCACAGTAAATGGCAATTTCAATACCCTTACCTGGAATACTCCTGGTCAAATCAAAGAATGCTAAAACATAAAGCAAGAAATAAAATTTTCCCAAATGCTGGCCTGGCGCAGTGGCTCACACCTGTAATCCCAGCCGTTTGGGTGGCTAAGGTGGCAGATCACTTGAGGCCAGGAGTTCCAGACCAGCCTGGCCAACATGGCAAAACACCGCTTCTACTAAAAATACAAAAATTAGCCAGGCGTAGTGGTGTGCGCACGTAGTCCCAGCTACTCCGGAGGCTGAGGCAGGAGAATCACTTAAACCTGGGAGGTGGAGGTTGCCGTGAGCTGAGATCACACCACTACACTCCAGCATGGGCAACAGAGTGAAACTCCATCTCAAAGAAAAAAAAAAAAAAAACTTCCCCAAATGCTAAACACTAATTTAAATCAAGATCACAATAAGGTGAGGCACGCTGGCTCCCACCTGCAATCCCAACACCCTGGGAGGCCAAGGTGGGCAGATGACCTGAGGTCAGAAGTTCGAAACCAGCCTACCCAACATAGTGAAACCCCGTCTCTACTAAAAGAAATACAAAAAATAAGTCAGGCACGGTGGCTCGCTCCTGTAAACCTAGCACTTTGAGAGGCTGAGGCGAGCGCATCACCTGAGATCATGAGTTCAAGACCAGCCTGGCCAAGATGGTGAAACCCCGTCTCTACTAAAAATACAAAAATTAGCCGGGCTTGGTGGCGGGTACCTGTAATCCCAGCTACTTGGGAAGCTGAGACAGGACAATCGCTTAAACCCGGGAGGCAGAGGTTGCAGTGCGCTGAGATCGCACCACTGCACTCCAGCCCGGGTGATAAGAGCAAAACTCCATCTCGGGGAAAAAAAAAAAAAAAATCACAATAAATACAGACCCATGCACCTTTTGCAAAAAAAAAAAAAAAAAAATCACAATAAATACAGACCCATGCACCTTTTGCTTCTTCAACTCACAAAACCAGTTTGCTTCCAGTCCCTAATTACTAACCTGGAGCTTAGTCAGCATGCCAGGGCTCTCTGATGGAGGCCCAGGGATCACCTCTGGCTCTTCTTCCACCTCCTCAAAACGGGGTATTCGTCGCTTCTTTACTCCTGATGATTCTTTAGAGATCTCAGAGTCATCACCAAACACCTCCTAAGGGAACCCAAGATGAAAGAAAAGCTGTATCCTTCCCCGTGGGGAGAAGAGAAGAATTATCCTAGCCCCTACCAGCAGTTTCTGGCTATTCCCAGGGGAATATGACATAACCTTGCAAATAGCCACCTGCCAGAAGCAGGGTCTACTAGACTCTCCATCAAGTGGACCATCTCACCCAACTTCAACATTCTCCTAATCCAGTCAAACAAATTTCATTCCCATGTTCTTATAAATGTTCCCATCTTAAGGTCTTTGCAAATGCTACTGCCCACATTTATGATTTCTCTCAACTTTTCCACAACCCCTGTTCCAAATCCTGCCTAAAACTCACCTCCTCCAAGAAGTTTGCCTCATTACAACCTTATCCCACTCTGATTAAACTTTTTGTTTCACATTCTCTTATCATGTAAGAGCTTGGTTCATATTAGGTTAAATTACACTGTTGATATTCTGTTTGCCAAGTGTTAAGTAATTCAATGTTAGTATAATTTTCCCAACTAAGTCTAAGCTCTTCCAGGACACGGGCTTTCTCTTTCTTCTTCAGTAATCCCCATTAACACTTTGTTTTCATCAAACAATGGAAATTCAAATATGATGACTAATTTGCAAGGTGAATTTAACAGGACCGAGAGTGGCCAACTGGAAGGGACAATGGGAAAAAGCAAATGTACACACCGGTGGTAGGCTTTGGGTGACATCCCCTCTTCACTAGGAGGGCTCGTGTTTTGCAAGGACATATCCTCGGCCAGGGGCGAGCGCTTCCTGGAACTCCTACAGTTCAAGAAAAAGGACTCTCCCATAATATATTGTGTGGGGTGGGGACTTGAATGGACCAAAAATGGGACCCGTATCCCAAAGCTATCTAGACACCTCCTTCAAGAAGCCATTTTTATTAATCCCACCCAATGTAGTCACTTCATTCACAGCATGCCCTCAGCACTCATACAGAAGTATGCCCTACTGGTCAGATGCAGTGGCTCATGTCTGTAATTGCAGCACTTTGGGAGGCCGAGGCGGGCGGATCATGAGGTCAGGAGTTCGAGGTCAACCTGATCAACATGGTGAAACCCCGTCTCTACTAAAAATACAAAAATTAACCGGGCATGGTGGCATGTGCCTGTAATCCCAGCTACTCAGGAGGCTGAGGCAGGAGAATCACTTGAACCTGGAAGGTGGAGGTTGCAGTGAGCCGAGATTGTGCTACTGCACTCCAGCCTGGGCAACAGAGTGAGACTCAGCCTCAAAAAAAAAAAAAAAAAAAAAAAAAACCGCAAAGCAGTATGCCCTATCGTGACATAATCTTCACTGTACAGATCCGTGTATACTGTGGCTCAATCATTCCCCCTTAAATATAACAAAATTCAACATAAGTCTGAAATTCTATAGCCAACCCTAAAATTTACATGAAACTGCTACTTAGATTTTATAATACGTAAATATATATTTTGTGATACTCCTGCCTCTTCTAAATTGCAACTCCTCGGCTCAAGAGATCCTCTTGCCTCAGCTTCCCAAGTAGCTGGTATTACAGGCACATGCCATAGTGCCTGGCAAATTACAAACTGTTTTAAGGCAAGCACTATTTCTCCTTCTCTGATCACCCTACAATGCTCTAAACACAAAGGGCACAAATCTCTCTGGTTTTTTTTAGTTCCATAGCCTGGCCAGGGGACCAAGCAGACATTATATTCACTCTTTTCCCTCAGGAAAAGCAATGGGATAGCCAAGGTATCAAAAGAACTTCGGAAGGTTTGATAGGAGTCGCAGAATTTTTTTTTTCTAAAGAGAGATACTGGGAAATGAGTAGAAAGACAGACTACTTGATACTGCTAATATTGAAAAAGGCCAGGATCAGTCAGCAACTACAGAATAAAAAGTGTAGTAGTTAAGGGGGTACTGACAACTCCTCCAAGTGTTTCACTTCTGGCACCAGAGGACCAGCAATATGCCATAGAGCAAATGGTAAGCTCTCAAGAATATAATAAATAATAGTTACTTTTTTGGTATCCTATCTACAAGTGCATTGCAGAGAAACCTCTACAAAGAGGCAACAAGGAGGTCTACAGCTCAGGTACCAGTGGAGTCACATTCTAAAACAACTTATTAGGCCTCAAATAAATCAAACATAAAATCTTAGAGCAATCAGTTTATAGGTAAGAAGGAAAAAAAGGAAATATGGAGAAACATGAGAACCAAAACTCCTGTTATCTAAAAAAAGACAAAGCTACCAATTATTTATTTGGATATTTAAACCCATGAACTTAGGTAGTTCAGATGGTGATGACACAAATTCACCTCTCCTACTTTAATGTCTAAGTACCTCTCTTGAACATTTGCTGCTCTAAATAGAGGATATCAACATGTGAACTGGTAAGCTCAGCAACTCTGTTACCATTCAAAACAGTCCTGAGCTCATTAGACAGTAAATTGTAACCTACCTTTAGCTCTCGTTTTCTGCTCCTGTCACTGCTAGACTTGGAATGCCTAGAGCTTCGGCCTTCCTCCACAGCCTCAAAGAGTTTGTCCACAAATCGGAGAGTAGACTCATCAAGAAAAGGTTTCAGATGATCTGACAGGAAGAAAGGCAGTGGTAGGATTGGAAAGGTAAGACTACATAGTCTAATACTAGGCCTATAACAGGTACCAACACTGGAATTTTATTCCCAGGAGTGAAACAAATTTTAAGTTTTTTTCTACGATTCCCATCTCTCTTACATTGAATGACCTTGCCCTATGAGGTGAAAATAGTTATAATTGTTTGGAGTGGGAAGTCGTACAGTCAGAGCAACCTGTTTACGTTGAACATCAAGTTTAAGATGAATAACCACCCTAACCTTTCCCAAATAGCAAGTTGTAGGAGACTACCATTAACAAAATCTACCTCCTTCAAGCTTTTTTATGTATTTCATAAAGACTTTTATATGTTGAGATGTCAATCTGAATCTGAATATGCCTATCTGACTTAAGCATACTTCCTAAGTAAATCTAACTTAGGTGACTCAGTATGGTAGCCAAAGATTTAAAATCTATCATAAAAAACATAAAAAATAAACAATAAGAGAAAAAGCAAATTATGATTTAGCCTATTTTCATTATAATACAGATGAAAACAAAATATGGCCTGCCCTTTTTTTAGATGTTCCCAACAGAGAGAATTTTAGGGAAGTTCAGTGTTTGGGGTCACCCTATATGTTAAGACAAAAGCTGCAGAAAGGTACATACCAGCTGCCTTCTTCTTGTCCATGCCCTTCCCCACACAGTTCAATGCTGCTGTGACCACTGTAGGCTCTGAGAAACCCAGGACCCTCTTCACTGTCTTCTCTATCCATGGTTTCAGCTCATCCAGCTCCCTCTTAGACAGTGCCATTTTGCAGGAAAAAGAGAACAATAGCTCAAACTGGACTCAATACTACACCTAAAAAAAAAAAAGAGACAAGTTAGAGAATAAGAAAAGACTAAAGTGGGTTGGGTGCAGTGGCTCATGCCTGTAATCCCAGCACTTTGAGAGGCCAAGGTGGGTGGACTGCTTGAGGTCAGGAGTCAGAGACCAGTCTGGCCAACAGAGCGAAATCCTGTCTCTACTAAAAATACAAAAAAATTAGCTGGGCGTGGTAGCATGAGCCTGTAATCCCAGCTACTCCGGAGGCTTAGGCAGGGGAATAACCAGGGAGGTGGAGCTTGCAATGAGCCAAGATCACACCACTGCACTCCAGCCTGGGTGACAGTGAGACTCTGGCTCAAAAAAAAAAAAAAAAAAAAAAAAGAAGACTAAAGTGATCCAGGGAAATGGTTAGTGCATCAGGAATGCATTCCCCACCCCTATTCTCAATCCCTAGACAAGTTCTTCCAACTCATTTGAAGGCAAGTATTTTCCCCAAGAACCTTATCTCAAAGCAGAAAGAGATCCCATTTGATTTTTAACTCTTAACTCTTAAGTTGATCAATGAAATCTGTGGAATAAATAAACTCTGTGAATAAGCTACGTCTGAGAGATTAATTCTAGCTTCTTTCTTGATCCTGTCATATCAGCAAGGACTTGCAAACCTAGTAACACTAGAACAAAACTAAAAAAGCCCATCCAGAGGCCAGCTTCTCCATTCTTCCTACTTCCAGGCAGGCATTCCCTAATCCAACCCTGACTTATGTAGGATTCCCTTCTTTTAAGATATGCAAGTAAAACAGGTTTATCCAGGTCAGTCATCCTGGATATTAAATTAAATCTCATGATCCTTAAGAATGTTCTCTCACATTTCTCTGTGGTCATATTCATCCCAGTGGGAATTCTGCATACAGATAATTATCATGTTCAATCTACAGGGTCTCCATCAGCTGACTTGATGATCCTTCAGCTCAGAAAAGAATACGCTCATTTTTCTTTTGAGACAGAGTCTCACTCTGTCGCCAAGGCTGGAGTGCAGTGGCGTAACCTTGGTTCACTGCAACCTCCATCTCCTGAGTTCAAGCAATTCTCATGCCTCAGCCTCCCGAGTAGCTGGGACTACAGGCATGCACCACCACGCCTGGCCAATTTTGTAGTTTTAGTAAAGACGCGGTTTCACCGTATCGGCCAGGTAACTCCTTACCTAAAGTGATCTGCCCACCTTGGCCTCCCAAAGTGCTGGGATTACAGGCATGACCCACTGCACCCGTCTCTACTAAAAATACAAAAATTAGACGGGCGAGGTGGTGGGCACCTGTAATCCCAGCTACTCATGAGGCAGAGGCAGAAAAATCGCTTGAACCTAGGAGGCGGAGGTTGCGGTGAGCCAAAATCACGCCACTGCATTCCAGCCTGGGTGACAGAGTTAAACTGTATCGCCAAAAAAAAAAAAAAAAAAAAGCCAAAATCACGCCACTGCATTCCAGCCTGGGTGACAGAGTTAAACTGTATCGCCAAAAAAAAAAAAAAAGAAAGCCAGGTGCAGTGGCTCACCCCTGTAATCCCAGCACTTTGGGAGGCTGAGGCGGGTGGATTACCTGACGTCAGGAGTTCGAGACCAGCCTGGCCAACATGGTGAAACCCCATCTCTATTAAAAACACAAATATTAGCTGGGCGTGGTGACCTGCACCTGTAATCCCAGCTACTCCGGAGGCTGAGACAGGAGAATCCCTTGAACCTGGAAGGCGGAGGTTGCAGTGAGCCGAGATCGCGCCACTGCACTCCAGCCTGGGCGACAGAGCAAGACTCCGCCTCAGGGGAAAAAAAAAGTGCCTAAATGAGAGCCAATAAATTGCACTGACCTCAATTTCTAAGCTCAGCTATTCCCAGCAGTGCCACTTATCAGAGATCTGGGAATCAGTTTTTCAAGATGTTTTAAGACATCTTTTCTCCAAAAAAATCCAGTCTGATTAACTTCTACATTCTTGGTAGGTTTAGCTTCTATACTAGAGTCTACAAGACTTGCTGCTGGCCAGGCATGTTGGCTCACGCCTGTAATCCCAGCACTTCAGGAGGCCGAGGTGGGCGGATCACAAGGTCAGGAGATCGAGACCATCCTGGCTAACACGGTGAAACCGTGTCTCTACTAAAAATACAAAAAATTAGCCAGGCGTGGTGGTAGGCGCCTGTAGTTCCAGCTAAACTTGGGAGGCTGAGGCAGGAGAATGGAGTGAACCTGGGAGGTGGAGCTTGCAGTGAGCCAAGATCACGCCACTGTACTCCAGCCTGGGCGACGGAGCCAAACTCCGTCTCAAAAAAAAAAAAAAAAAAAAAGACTTGCTGCCAAATAGTAGACTCACTTTTGGTATATCCAAAGGAAGCTAGCAGACTGAAGTGATGAAACTAAGACTGAAAGATTTTCTGCCTCAGTGACAAGTTACGTGAGTAATTCTATGGTGACTCTATTACCCCATAATGAGTAGACATACAGCCTACCAATTTCTACATATTACACACGTATTGCACAAAAGCAGCATATCCAGACGACTTAGAAAGTGAAAACAAGAGTTCACACAGAACAGTCAGGACACTGAGTTCCACCATTTACAGGCCCTTAGGCAAGTTAATTAATTATTTGGAGCCGCAGTTTACTCATCTTACAAAATGAGGACTGCCATATTTAAATCTTAATTCATTCAATAAATATTTATTAACTACCAAGTGTCAAGCAATGTACTAAGTGCAGTGGATACACAAAACAGTGAGCAAAACTAACAAGAGTCCTCACCTTAACGAGTCTCATATTCCACTAGAATTGAATGATAGGCTACAAAGTATAAGAAATTTGAAAGCCCAAAGCAATATTTGAGGTGCCACTGTTACCTCCACAAGATGATGTGCAAACTAAACAGCCATGGACAGAAAAGTTTCAAACGGTAATTAGCTTTGTCACTAATCAAATGCTCAACAATAACTGTGAGGTGCAGGGGTAATGGGGGTGCGGAAGGAGAGCGAGGTACAATGATCTCTCAATGAGCAGGCAGCAGAATCCAAATCCAGTCTTCTGAAGGAATTCCTTACTCCGTGCTCTTGTTTGCTAGAACCTGAGTTTCCCTCTGCGGCCCCAAATCTTCTATTTTTACCCTCCGTCACTCCAACCAGTCTCTTACTCTACCTTGTTCTACCCAAACTCCTCACCTCAGAGCTGGTCTCCCCACCCGGTCTGCTTCCCGCCCCCGCCCTTTTCCTCTCAACAATCTCATTCCAATCTCTTCTTCCACCAAATCAGGTACTCCTTTCACACTCCTTCCCGCTGAACCCTCCCGCTTCGATCCTCCCCTTGGACTAAGCCCCCGGCCACAGTCGCGCGGACTGGAGTTACCCTCTCTGGGCCCGGGGCCACTACTCACCTCACAAACTTCAGCCCCTGAGACGGAGCCCGAACGTTACACCGGAACCGGAAACCTTCTGACCGCCCTACGGCCTGCCGTCGCTACCGCCACGGCCGCCGCCACGCCGCTGTCTCCCAACACGTGACCAAGGAGGGCTGGGCCGGCAATTCGCGCAGCCGTATTTGCCACTTTCTTGGAGGCTGAACGCATGCGTCGTAGAACCGAAAAGTTTCCCTGAGCAAGTTTCTTGCTTTCTATTTCCCGGGCTAAACCTATTAACTAGATTTCTGCCAAGTTAATGTTTTTAACTTCCTGAAGCGGAAATTGGGCTACTTGCAGTTTTCTTCATATGGAGAATAAGTGCGCAAAGGTAAACTTCGGATAGAATGAAGAGCGAGGCTTCTGCGTTTGTGTTCAAACACAGTCTTTCTGGTAGAAAGTAAACCCTTTCACAGTCGTGATCACTAGAATTAGCCACCCATCCTTAACCTTTCTCCCTAATTTAACAGTGGTGTCAGGCCGGGCGCCGTGGCTCACGCCTGTAATCCCAGCACTTTGGGCTCAATAAATGACAAGTGAGACCTACCAGTATTGCTTTCTCCATTCTATCAATAGGTCTATATATTTCCTTTTCTCCAAAATGAGGCTCTAACCTACTGACCCTTTCTTTTTCTTTTTCTTTTTTTTTTATTTTTTGAGACGGAGCCTCACTCTGTCGTCAGGCTGGAGTGCACTGGCGTTATCCCGGCTCACTAAAACTTCCGCCTCCCAAGTAGATGGGACTACAGGCGCGCACCACCACGCCCAGCTAGCTTTTGTATTTTTAGTAGAGACAAGGTTTCACCATGTTGGCCAGGATGGTCTCGATTTTTTGACCTCGTGATCCGCCCACCTCGGCCTCCCAAAGTGCTGGGATTTCAGGCTTGAACCAGCACGCCTGGCCCCTACTGACCCTTTAAATCATAACAACATGTGTGTGGGCAAAGATAGTTTGGAAAAAGGATGTCCAGTATTATGACACAATTTCTTATGTGAGAAATGGAAAAAATTCCATTATTTTTATATTATAAACTATCCAAACTAAAATTCCAAAATGTCTTCTTGGTGGTAGGCTCACTAGAAGATGCAGTTGTTCTTCAGGGAGGTTATTCAAATTCCCCAGATAGTAGGAGATTTTTGTATCTAAAGATACAATGTACATACCAAGCCCCACCGTCCCTGATGGGGCAGCATGACCTAAAAGGATAAAGCCTGGCTCTGAAGGAACCAGTTGGGGGAGCTTCAACTTGCTGCTCAACTTATTCACAAATCAGTTTCTCCACTTACAGCTTCTAACACTAATGTCTCACAAAATATTCACTCAAAAAAGTTTGTTGAATGGGTTAATGAGTTTCAATGTTGCAGGGTTGTTGTAAATTTATTTTGTTTTAGTGCTTCTAACAGTCTGAGTTCAATTCCCTATGGAGAAATGTGTTTCTAGAAACTGATTTTAAGCCAGGTGTGGTGGCTTACGCCTGTAATCCCAACACTTTGGGAGGTCGAGGCAGTTGGATCACTTGAGGTCAGGAGTTTGAGACCAGTCTGCCCAACATGGTGAAAATCTATCTCTCCTAAAAAAATGCAAAAATTAGCTGGGAGTGGCAGTGGGCACCTGTAATCCCAGCTACTCAGGAGGCCTAGGCAAGAGAGTTGCTTGAACTCTGGAGGTGGAGGTTGCAGTGAGCCAAGATCACACCACTGCACTGCAGCCTGGGCAACAGAGGGAGACTCCGTTTCAACAAAACAAAACTGATTTTATTTCCAATTTTTAGAATTGGATACATTTAAACTGTAGCCTTCCAGTTACTAGCTGTGTTTCCTTCACGTAATTTTTTCTGAGATTGTTTCCTCAATTATAGAATAAGAATCTCTACTTCAAAAAGGTATCGTGAGGATTAAATGTAATGTGTAAGACACAGTTAGTGTGGTACTGGCATAAGAACAGGCACATAAACCAACCAAAGAGAATGGAGGGCCGGGCGGAGTGGCTCAAGCCTGTAATCCCAGCATTTCGGGAGGCCGAGGCGGGTGGATCACAAGGCCAAGAGATCGAGACCATGCTGGCCAACATGGTGAAACCCCGTCTCTCCTAAAAATACAAAAATTAGCCGGG